GGGGGGGGGGGCAAGGTTCTACAATTAGGTGGAGAATGTCAGCTTTGAGGAACTTCCTGTTACATTTATTTTAATGAGCTAAAGTTTTTATTCTCTTTTTTGGTGAAAATAGTGTTAGATTTCTGTGGCAAAACTTACATTTTTACTCTGAAGTTGAGATTTTTCCCTCCTGTTTGTGTTCTTTGTAAATAAGTAAGATATGCCAATTAGCAAGCTAATGTTCTAAATGTTCACTTGTGGTAACAGTTATTTTTAAATGTTAAATAGCATGGAGCATTGGGCTTATTCTTTTCAAAGTTTTGAATTTGTTAAAATGAATTGAATTTAAAATGTGACACAACTTTATGGAGAAAGATTGATCATAATTATTTGCCACTCGAATATGCATTTTGTAATGGGGAAAATAAATGATAGGAAATGTGTTTACTTTTGAGAACAAATAAGAAAAGTTTTAATGGGTAAGTTTGGTCATTTTATGTTGTTTCTTGTGTTCACAGGTGGGAAAGGATAAGTGCCATAGAATGCTGGTGACTGAAGGTAAACCTGGAATAGATGGACAGCTTCCAGGGCAAAAGACGAAGCCTAAATACAGTGCATTTCCTAAAGCAATGGGAAATGCAGTACCATCCTGGGTAGCTTTTGATAAACAGGTAAGTCACATAACATTGGGAGAAATGCAGTCTTAAAATGTTACATGTATTAAATATTAAGTAGATTTGAGAAAATGAGAATCCTTAATGTAAATGTTAAGGCTAGTTTTTCTCAAAAGACGCATTCAAGAACAAAACTACCTAAACAAAGAAAAGTTATCCCTGCTCTTGTTTCTGACCGGACACATTGGTTGCAGGATATCAAATGTTTACCTTTCTTGGCTAATGCTTATCAATCTTTCTTTTTTTAATTAATTAATTTATTGTTTTCAAATTACAGTCTACATTCAATATTATTTTGTATTAGTTTCAAGTGTACAGCATAGTGGTTAAACAATCATATACATTACAAAGTGTTCCCTTGATATTTTCAGCACCCACCTGGCACCATACATAGTTGTTATAATATTATTCACTATATTGCCTATGCAGTACTTTACATCCCTGTGACTATTTTGTAACTACCAATCTCAGTCCCTTAACTTTTTTCACCCAGTCCCCCAACCCCCTACCCTCTGGCAACCATCAGTCTGTTCTGTGTATCTATGAGTCTGTTTCTATTTTGTTTGCTATATTATATTGTTCTTTAGATTCCACATGTAAGTGAAATCATATGGTATTTTATCAACCTTTCTCTCATCTCCTCCTTAAGCTGTTCTTTTGCTTAGTGAGTTACCATTAACTAAATAATTTTGTTTGACTCTGAGTGTGCCTTTAGATAGCAACAGAAAGATGACTTCTCTTCTTTTCTCCATATTAATTATGGTTCCCCATCCCTGAGAACCAAAGGGTGCCATGGCAAGAACTGTAGAAGTGAAGGAAAGAGGTGCCATTATTAGAGAACAGTCTGAACTTCTTAATGCATATGTTTATACACACAACACACACATATATACTGGCATATTGACAGTTGACAAAAGCAATCTATTTGAATATCTTAAAAAGAGACTAAGATCAAAAGGAAAAAAACCTAAGGTGACCGGTTATATCTCATTGCTGTGTTTATTGGCAACTGTGTACCACTGCCCCATGTTCTGTTCTCCAGAACAGAGCCTGTTATTAGATTATTTAGGTCCTGTAATTAAAACGTAATTCAGGACTAGATAAAGAATTCAAACCTTAGTATGCTGTTTACCAGGTGGTTCTCAGCAGATTTAACATGGATTGGTCCTCAATACTTTGACTGCATTTAAAATGTCTTCAAATTTGGTAGAAGTGACATATCCCATGTCATCAGCATTAGGGTACAGCACTTAGAGCACATATCATTTTGAAGCCCAGTTCTGATACTTATGGAGATCTAACAGACTGCAGGGAAGCTTCTTTCCTGGGAAACCATCTCTACTTTGAACGTGGACCAATATTTCTCTCTCTCTTTTTTAAAAATTATTTTCAGTACTTGGCTCAGTTACCCAGCATTCAGAAACAATTTCCGGACTGACTTACTTGGGTGGATCATTCGTGGTTTCCTGTAGTATCAACCTTATAGATGTTTACACATAGTCATTCTAGAATATTTAATATGTAAGGGCCAAAGAAAAGATTCTACTTTTACTTCTTGTGTCAAAAAGAGGATTATTTACAATAGTTGAAAGTAATTCACTACTGAATAAGTAATGTTGTAGGCCACAGAATATTTAACTATTCTCTTGAATTTAAAGTTGAAAATTCCTTTTATTTTATGTTTTTCTCAATATGTAATATGTTTTTCAAGTCTATTTTGCGGCCCTTTAATTACTTATAAAATTATGTAGAGTATTTCATGAAGTTGGAATAATTTTAGCTTCCAAGTACTTGAGAAAATGAAAAGCTTGCTAATTTCAGGCCTAATTAAATGCAACATAATTCTTTCAGTTATTTTGTTGGTCAACTTCAATTGAATATTCATTGAGCTTTAAATGAGACCTAAGACTATGAAATATTTACGTGCTCTGATGAGACTGTGAGCTACAGACTGGTTTCTGGTTAATACCCAAAGCAAATTATAAAGCATTTTCTAGATTCGTGGTTCAACAAAACAAGTCAACACCTGTTAATCATTTTTCTTAAAAAATTAGGCATTTTCAACTTGTTGCCAGTTTTTCCAATAGTTTTTAATCATAGCAATACATTTAAGGTGACATTCTCAAATAATACAAAATAGAAATAAAGGGAGTTCCTTGGAAAGTGTATCAAAATTAGTATTTATAGTGGATGCTCTTGGTGCCCCTCCAGATCCACATTAAAAGTAGGCATCCACTCTCCCCAGCTGAAGCAAGTGCTTTGGCAAACAGTTTACATTTGTAACCCACTATGGAGTGTTGCTCTTGGCCAATGGGCATTGCATCACCCAGAGAAGCCTAGGAGGTTACACTGGTCCCTTTACCATAAGAGGGGGCAGCAAATGGTTGACTGATTTGTCAAGAAGCTCTTTAGCTGAGCTTCTTCAAAGTGGGCACCTTTTAATTTAGATATAGGCTCATAGTCCCTGTGCATCTGGCCAAAGCAAAACTTCACATGAGAATGCATCTTTGCTTGGCTCATTCCCTTCCCTTGGCTGCTCTTCTCACTCCCTTCCAGGTTTTTCCTATAAGTATGTCTGTAACAAATCACATGCACCTAAATCCCTGTTTCTCACTCTGCTACTGTGGAGCCCAGCCTCAGACAACATTCCAGTTTTTATCCATAATTCTAAAAGTGACCATCAAAATACTCTGCTCAGGCTGACCATCAAATTACAAGCAGAGAAGATGCTATTTGCAGTCATCAAAAAGAGCCAAACTTTATTATCCTATATGGCCCCCATGGCAGGCATTTCTAGCTGTTTATCTTTTATTCTCCCCACCTCCTTCATTCTGAAGGAGAGAACACCAGTTTTATTCAGGCTGGAGATGTGACCACTTAAAAGTGTTCACTGCCCCAGGCTACTTGCAGCTAGGGCCGGCCACATGACTCACTTCTGGCCATGGTATACGAGTTAAGGTTTATTGGGTGTGGCTCCTGGGAAAATTATTTTTTTAATTAAGAGTGAGGCTTGCCCTGGCCGGTTTGGCTCAGTGGTTAGAGTGTTGGCCCTCGGACTGAGGGGTCCCAGGTTCGATTACGGCCAAAGGCATGTACCTCTGTTGCAGGCTCAATCTAACAGCCAATGGATGTGTCCCTCTCACATCGATGCTATCCTCTTTCTCTCTCCCTCCTTTTCACTCTCTCTGAAAAGCAATGGAAAAAATATCCTTGGGTGAGGATTAAAAATAAATAAATAAATAAATAAATAAATAAATAAATAAATAAATAAATGCGTCAGGCTCAGCTGATAATTTTTCCTGCCCTTTGCCCTACCTTTGTTTTCCTGTCTGGAACTAGGACATAATTCCTCAGGCTACAGCAGACACCTTGTGAGTGGTGCAGATATAAAGGGGACCTAGGGCCGTGCTACCATCATGGAGCCACCGTTTTCAGGCCAAGCTGTCTCTATCTGGACTTCTTGTTATATGAGAAAAATTAGTCCCTATTTCAGAGATTCTCAACCCAAGGAAGCCTTTGGAAGTGTGGGGAGATGACTGGGAGCAGCACTGGACTAGGTAAAGTGAGTGAGGCACTTGCCTTGGGTACAGAATTTAAGGGGAACCCCAAAACTCAGTAATCAAGCCAGATATATTTTAATAAAATATTTTTTAAAAATCAAAATTAATGCAGAAAAATTCATGATGAACAAAAAATTCATAATGAACAAAAAATTCATGATGCCGACATTTTAAATAAAGGCTGGATTAGTAACTGTCATGCTTGGCTATATTAGAGCCTGAGGTAAAAGGAAGACTCAGTAATACTGATTCCATCTTTGTTTAACTTTTGGCATCATAGATTTTTTTTGCATTAATTTTGATGTTTTAAATCACCTTGCTCTAGGGACAGCCCTGATTGGGAGGTGCTGTTGCTATTGAGTAGCTGGGGCCCAACCATGATTTTACATCCTGAAATGTGGGAAGGGCAACTGCACACTGGGGAGAATGTTCTGCCTAAGATACCAATACTGCACCCATTGAAAAACACAGTTCTACTTGCTTAAAACTCCTGGCATTGGAAGGATTTATATAAATAGCTAAACATATTTTTGCCTGATAATACACCCACCTTCCAAAGACTAGTTATTTTATTGAATTCATTTAAACACAAACAAGCACTTGTTCACTCATACCAATTAGTTGCAGTCATCATCCCAGTACCTCCATAAGGAAGAAACAACATGGATTTGTTCTCGTTCTATAAGTGAGGAATCATTTACAGGAAGTGGGTCAGGGGCCAGGCTTCTGATGCTGCATGCTGAAGGCACTGGAACTGTCATATAATGTTAACCTTATATATACAATAGCCATTTATTTTTCCAGTAAAAATGAGAAATGGCAGAGCACTTGCAATTTGGGACATGAAAACTATGGGAAACCATAGGCAAGTCCAGAGAACAAAGGAGGGGAGTGTTCCTTTATAGAGAAAAAGAAGGAAGTTGGGAGGGGAGGTTATGAGCAAAAGTACACTGGAGGAGAGTAAGAGTTCAGGGTGGAGGTTGCTTTTTATTAGCTGAGTTGTGGCATTTCTCATTGGCTGGGATGTTGCTGGGCAAGGAGAAAATCTTCCTTTTCCCTGCAGGAGTAGTAAAGTAAGCCTCTCCCTGTTGGGGAGTACAAAGTATGCTTTTTCGGGCTGGAGTCTGCAGAGGGCAGTGGGTGGCAGTGTGTGAGAGCTCACCCTTCAGGGCTTCCCAACTCTGATCATTTTAAATGAGGTTTTCTTTTTTTAAAAATATATCTTTATTGATGTCAGAGAGAGGAAAGGAGAGGGAGAGAGAGAGATAGAAACATCAATGATGAGAGAGTCATTGATCGAGCCCACAACCCAGGCATGTGCCCTGACCGGGAATCGAACCCTGATCGCCTGGATCCTAGGTCAACGCTCAACTGCTGAGCCACGCCCGGGTGGGCTAAATGAGGTTTTCTTTACCTTCACATAACTAACTGTGATTG